AGCAGCTCCAAGGCTTCTCTCTGACTCTGCCCTTCTTCCTCCCAGCATTCAGCTTAGTTTTTCCCGCCTAGCTAAGTTCTGCCCTGTTATAGGTCCAAAGCAGTTTCTTTATTCATTAATGGTAGTTGCAGCATACAGAGGGGACTCCCATATCAGAACTGTCACCAAGAGGGCACAGGGAAGAGGTGCCCTCCATGGCAGCTCTAGATGTGAGGCCTCCACTGGGGGAAGGGAGGTAACTTACACCCTGTACTACAAACCTGGTCTAATGCCTGTCACTGGGTGACGATAAGCCTGGGGGGGGGGGCACTGGTGCTTTGCTAAACGTACATGATGCCCTGTTAAATTGCCTTCTAGGTTTATGCCTACAGATTCATACTGCCAGCTTCAGTCAGAGAAGCTGCTTTCGGCAGAGGTCAGTAGGAACCACAGAGACTCTGAACTGGTCACAGTGCCAAGAATAAGTGTCGAAGATCCCAAGATAGCTCAGCAGTGAAGAGCACTGGCTGTTCTTCCAGAAGTCTTGAGTTCAATTCCCAGCAACCACATGGTGGCCTACAACTATCTATAGTGGAATCTGATGCCCTCTGTTGGCATAAAGGTGTACATGCAGATAAAGCATTCATAAACATAAAATAAATCTTTAAAAAAAGAAGAGTGTCAAATGCTCAGCCATAAATGAGACATCCATATCACCCCCACCAAGGCTCAGACAACATCAAAGAATAGGGGATGGATGATAAGAATGGAAGAGCTGGAGGAAGTGTGGAATGTTGCGGACCACTGTCTTCTAGTGCCCAAGTTTTTGTATTACACCACATGTATACAGTGGTCCACATTTGTACAGTGCCCTGAGATACCATAGGGAGTTGTCCAATTCCCTGGAACTGGAGTTATAGGCAGTTGTGAACTGCCTAGTGTGGGGACTGGGAACCAAATCTGGGTCCCCTGCAAGAGTAGCATGTGTTCTTAAAAACTAGACCATCTCTCCAGCCCCAGATCTTGCATTCTAGAACATCACAGCCACTGTGAAGAGCTGTACAAGGTTACTACTATCAACATTCTTTCATGGAAGGGGCTCACATAGCCTACTCCCAGACAATGTCTAGGAAGTTAATAAATGCTGGGGAGAGACTGATAAGGTCCCTATGCTCCTCCTGTAAGCTATACTAAAGAAACTCAGTGAGTCACCAAAAATAAGTAAATAAAATTTTAAAATAAAAAGAGGGCTGAAGAGAGGGCTCAGTGGTTAAAGAGCATATATTGCTCTTCCAGAGGATCAAAGTTGTTCCTAGCACCCACAGTGGGTGGCTCATAACTACCTATAATTACAGCTCCAGGAAGTCCAACATCTCTGACTTCCTAGGGTGCTTGTGTTCATGGTCACAAACACACATATACACATAATTAAGAAATAATAAAAATTAAATCTCTAAAATAAACATGTAAGTAGAAGGAAGACTGGCTGGGAAGAGGGAAGGGATACATAAGAATGGGAATGGATAGGAGTTAATGGAGGAATGAATGTGGCCAAAACACACGACTCACAAGCACGACGATGTCTAACAAAGACCCTAACTAATTAATAGATGCTAACTAAAAGCTGTTTTTAAAAGAGCGCAGGTGATACTTTCCTATCATGCCCAAGGCTGTGAGCTCAATCATCAGCACTGCAAAACTAAATATTTATTTAAAATGAGAGGGGTGGAGAGATGGTTAAGAGCACTGGCTGCTCTTCCAAAGGACCCTGGTTCAATCCCAGCACCTACATGAACACAGCTCATACTCAGTTGTTAATTCAAGTTTCAGGGGACCCAACGCCCTCTTCTGGTATCCAAGGGCACTGTACACACATGGTATATAGATACAGACAGCCAAAACTCCTATACACATAAAAGAATAAATGTAGCCAAATGTGTGGTGCACGCCTTTAATCCCAACACCTGGGAGGCAGAGGCCAGCCTGGTGTACAGAGACCCCGTACAAAAAAACAAAAGTAGGGATTGGAGAGATGGTTCAGTGGATGAGTAGAAGACCCAAGTTCAGTTCCCAGTTGCCTTGGGTAGCTCACAAGCTCCTCTAAGTCCAGATCCAGGGGACCCAATGTCCTCTTCTAGTCTCCATAGGCACTTGTACTGGTGCTTGCACAAATACATAGATTTAAAAAAATCTTAAAAACAAACAACCAACAATGGGGGGGGGCAGGTCATAGTGGCTCACACCTTTAATCCCAGCAGTAAGAAAGCAGAGGCAGGCAGATCTCTGAGTTCAAGGCCAGCCTGGTCTACAGAGAGAGTTCCAGGACAGAGAGGGTTGTTACAGAGAGAAACCCTGTCTAGAAAAACCAAACCAAAACCAGAGAACCTCAGTTCCATTCCTTCCTCCCCGCCCCCCACAGCCCTGGTTGTCCTGGAACTCACAACATAGACCAGTCTGGCCTCAAACTCCCAGTCAGCCTCAACTTCACGAGTGCTGGGATTAAAGGCATGCCTCAGCACACTTTTGAATCAGTGTCTCCCATAGATCAGCCCAGTCTTTAACTGGAAATACATACAGTAGAGGTTGACTTTGAACTCCTTATTTTCCTGCCCCAGCCTCTCCAAGTGCTGAGATGATAAATATGGGCCAGCCACACATAGTTTAAGGACTTAACAAAAATTTCACTTTTCAAGCTGGTCATGCAGGTAGGAGGGCTAACACGGAAAGTTAAAGGGCAGCCTAAGCTACAGGAGACCCTGACTCGAAACCAAACAATCCCCATTTTCCCCAACATTTCAACAAGTATCTCTGATCCTTTCAAATTCCATTTGTATTTCACCAAGACCTTTACTAAACATGTTTTCTGCAGCAGGGTCTCATATGTAACCCTCACTCCCCACGAGCTTATTATCTTCCTCATTAACCACCTGAGGCCTGGGGTTACAGATGTGGGCTACCATGTCTTGTAATAAAATTCATTTCACTGAACATGCCTTTAATCCTAGCACTCGGGAGGCAGAGATTCTGTGAGTTTGAGGCCAGCCTGGTCTACAGAGCGAGTTCCAGGCCTGGCTTTTTTGAGAAACCCTGTCTCTAAAAACAAAAACAAAAACAAAAACAAAAAAAAAAAAAAAAAAAAAACCACTTCCACTAGCTTTTATGACTATCAACAAAAAACCTGTCCTTTCTTGAACTGTTTATTTGCATTTAAAGTCATTTAAAATTTTGCATATACTGTGTTCCTTTCTTTACTGTGACTTCTAGTCAAATTTGTAGTTTCTCCCAGGAATTCCATAGGTTCTCACTTCAGGTATTTTGCCTAGAAACCTTAGGCATCACTTCATCGCCTCTGCCCCTCCCCACTCTCATTGCCTTGATTTCTTCAGCCAGTCTTAATATTTAATGCTTCCATTTCAGGACTGCTGTAGATGATTAATAACGTAAAGGGCAGCAGGACGGCTCATGCAGTGAGGGTGCTCATGTCGGAGGCTCACATGGTAGGGGTGGAGGGTGAGCTCACTCATTTTCTGACTTTCATAGGTGTGTCACGGCGTCTGATACAGAATATGCACAAAAGAAAAATTTAGTAAAAACCAAAAATAACAGTGCAGAAAATCACCCTTAAAACCAGTGGGGATCTGATTTAGCTTATCTATTTTTGAGTCAAGGTCTACGTAGCTCTTGCTGCGTCGAACTTGGAGATTCTGTTTCCCACATGCTGGAATTTAAAGATATACCATCACCTCTGGCTGTTTTACGTATACTTTGACTATGAAAGGCTGATTTTAGAATGGAGATGGTGGTGCAAACATTTAATCCCCCAGCACTCAGGAGGCAGAGGCAGGTGGATCTCTTGTGTTCCAGGACGGTCTGACAGCAAGTTCTAAGACAGCCAGGGCTACAGAAAGAAATCCTGCGTCGTAAAACAAAACACACACACACACACACACACACACACACACACACCAACAAAAAAGGCTTTGGCTTTATTTTTTCCAATTTTTTAATCTAAAGGGTTTCCCTGCATGGCCCCAGCTGACCTGGAACTGTGTATCATAGGCTAACATGGATCCTCCTGTCTCAGTTTCCGGAGTGATGAAATTGAAATCACAAGTTACCAAGTTCTGCTTGGTTTTGCTTTTATTCCAATTCGAATTCATTAACAACATTGAAAACCTGTATGATTTCACACAAAAGGCCCTAAATTTCATTCCCGTAATAACAAAACAAAGAAACAAAATCGTGGTATCCAATATAAATATCCTGATTTCAGACAAAATGCAAAAAAGTTCTTAACTCCCTAGTCTAGCACAGAAGCCGGATCTCGGACCTGAGATGTAACCGTTGTCTCTAGTAGTTACGGTCCTTGCATACATTTTACTACATTTCCTTTCTCATCCTTTGAAAGGAGGAAGAGAAACACCGAAGGCAGGGTTCAATCGGAAAGCTGGAAAGGATCCGCCTAGACACTTTTCTAACAGTCTAAAACGCAACCCACCGCAGATTCGCTGAAACACCAGACAACAGCTCCGCCCGTGCACTGAAACCAATCACCTGCCACTCCGCCAACCAAGCCGAAGCGCCGAGGATGCCCAGGTTTCCGGAGCAACAGCTCAGCATCATCTGGCTCCGCCCCCGGCGCCTTTCCCGCCAAAGGCCGTTAGCACCGCGGAGCATGGCGGGACTCGGCTGCAGGCTAGGTTTCATCAAATCCTTTCAAAGCCGGTTTCCTCCTGAGGAGCCCGGTTATCCTCGACTCAGCAGGGATTAACAGCCCCTTCCTCCGCAGTATGTAAATTTTGCCAAACGTCTGGCCGCCTCGCGAACCAATCGTTCCGCCAGCCGGGGACGCGAGGGACTTTTTCCCCTCCGTGCGGAGGGTGACGTCGCGCTTGCGCGAGCGTACTTCTCAGCACCCGTTACGCCCGTGCGCGTGCGTACTGCGACGGACGCGCAGCTTCCTCCGGCTTCTCTTCCTCCCCCCCCCCCTCCCCCCCATATCAGTGCGCCGAGCTGATAAAGGCGCCATTTTGGACGGGCCGCGGGAGACGTGGTGCCGCTCAGGGCTCGCTCGGCCGTACGCTAGGCTTGGTGGGAAGGCCTCTTCTCGAGTCCGCGCTTTTTCGTCGCCGCCATGTCAGGAGGTGGTGTGATTCGTGGCCCGGCGGGGAACAACGACTGCCGCATCTACGTGGGTAACCTACCTCCAGACATCCGAACCAAGGACATTGAGGACGTGTTTTACAAATACGGCGCCATCCGCGACATCGACCTGAAGAACCGCCGCGGGGGACCGCCCTTCGCCTTCGTTGAGTTCGAGGACCCGCGGTGAGGCAGCGTGGGGCTTGCGGCCTTGAGGACATAGGCTGGCGTAGTTGGGCAAGGCTTTCGAGGCCTTCACATTATGGGGGTGGGGGGAGAGGAGGGGCTCCGAGGCCGGGAGCGAGGCGCTATCGCCCCTGCAGGAGTCGAGCAAGGAGCCGAGTCGGCGTGCTGTCTCCGGTGGCCGGCCGCCTCGGACGTCCCCAGAGCCCATGCGCAGCCCCCGGAGCGGGAAACTGAGGCGCTGAGGGCTGGCGTGGTGGTCGGGAGTCTGCCCGGCGTGGTTCTGGGTGGGGGAGGGGCCGGCCCTATTATGCAGCGCATGTGGGCTCCGGCGCCGTCTGGGGTGCGCATGTGCGCCGGTCCCCCGCGGCTTCCCCGAGCGCCTGGAGCTTGGCGGCGCCGGTCCCTCTCCTCCTCATCCCCTTCGCCTTCTGTCCTCACGCAGAGACGCGGAAGATGCGGTGTACGGGCGTGACGGCTACGATTACGACGGCTACCGTCTGCGGGTAGAGTTCCCTCGAAGCGGCCGCGGGACCGGCCGAGGCGGCGGCGGGGGTGGAGGCGGCGGAGCTCCGAGAGGCCGCTATGGCCCGCCATCCAGGCGCTCGGAGAACAGAGTGGTTGTCTCTGGTGAGTGGACCCCGTGGGGGTTAAAAAATTCTCCCCGCGAGACTGATCTGACAACTACAAGTTTTGGCGTTTGGTTTTTTTGTTTTCCTTTCCTTCTTTTCCTTTTACCCGAACTCTTAAAACGGCTTTTCTGTCTTGGGGGTGAATTTAGTAAATAAAGATTTCTGTGGTGGTGATTTACCCAAATTAGGTTGCAGTACTAGCCTATGAAGATCCTTTACAAATAAGTTTGGACTCTGGATCTCAGACTCTTACCAGCTCTTTACGTGGAAACACTTAAGTACACTCATTAAGTATTTTAAAATAATCTTTGCTGTGATGGACATTAATACAGTTAGCGTGGAGCAGGGTAATTCTCATTAAGTGGGGGGAAATCACTTTTGCAGGACTGCCTCCGAGTGGAAGCTGGCAGGACTTAAAGGATCACATGCGTGAAGCAGGTGATGTATGTTATGCTGATGTTTACCGAGATGGCACTGGTGTCGTGGAGTTTGTACGGAAAGAAGATATGACGTATGCAGTTCGAAAACTGGATAACACTAAGTTTAGATCTCATGAGGTAGGTTATACACTTATTCTTTTCTTTGACCAGAATTGGATACAGTGTTCTTAACAGTGGAATTTGAAGGTAAGGATACAGGCAAGGGCATCCAAATAAATTACCAGAGACCTGGTCTGTCTGTCTTTGTATTCATTCAGCATGTCTGAAGACAGGTGAAAGCTTAGATCTTTCAATGGAAAGTTCTGTCTATCCAATAGGGAGAAACTGCCTACATCCGGGTTAAAGTTGATGGGCCCAGAAGTCCAAGTTATGGAAGATCTCGATCTCGAAGCCGTAGTCGTAGCAGAAGCCGTAGCAGAAGCAACAGCAGGAGTCGCAGTTACTCCCCAAGGAGAAGCAGAGGATCACCACGCTATTCTCCCCGTCATAGCAGATCTCGCTCTCGTACATAGATGATTGGTGACACTTTTTGTAGAACCCATGTTGTATACAGTTTTCCTTTACTCAGTACAATCTTTTCATTTTTTTTAATTCAAACTGTTTATGTTCAGAATGGGCTAAAGTGTTGAATTGCATTCTTATGTAATATCCCCTTGCTCCTAACATCTACATTCCCCTCATGTCTTGGTAAATTGTATTTTAAGTGATGTCATAGACAGGATTGTTTAAATTTAGTTAATTTCCATGCTCTTCAGACTGTGATATTGTGTAAATGTCTATTCTGCTCTGGTTTGTGTGAAATGGGATGTTGGGGGTGTTTGTGGTTATCTTACTTGGGGAAGTTCTTATGTTTATCTTGCTTTTCATGTGTCTTTCTGTAGACATATCTGAAGAGATGGATTAAGAATGCTTTGGATTAAGGATTGTGGAGCACATTTCAATCATTTTAGGATTGTCAAAAGGAGGATTGAGGAGGATCAGATCAATAATGGAGGCAATGGTATGACTCCAAGTGCTATTGTCACAGATGAAATTGGCAGTATTGACCTTATACTAAAAGACAAGGGTTAAAATTTTTATCAACATCTTATGTGGTTATTTCTAGCTACAATTGCTTTGCTTTTTAAACCTTGGCAATTGTGGCAAAATTGCCCATCTTGTAACAATTATTTGCTCCCTTCCCCCCTTTTTGTTTTAATAGGGACTAATGTGGGAAGAATGGCTAATTTGTCAGTGCTTAGTTACAACTGTTAATGTGTGGCCTGCTGTTGGTGTCCATAAGGGTACAGGGTGTCTATTTCCAAACAGAGTATAATATCAATACTGCTAAATCTGCATGTCCTCTGTGTGACTGATAGAGCGTTATTATTTCATTTTTTAAAGACAAAATGACAGCAGACTATAGAATTCCAACGTATAGTGTAGATAATCTAGTTGGGAGTACTTTAAGTCTCGCCTTCCCTTTTACTATTCATAATTGACTCATGTTTAAAACACTTTAATTTACAAGCTAAATTGCAGACGGGAGCAATAGATTTAGTTTAGTCTTAGGTGGGTAGCAATACCGGTAAACTTCAATTACATAACTTTGCAACCACAAAACGTGATACCTGTACAGTAACAAGTGTTGGCATTATCAGTTGAAGTGTAAATATAAAGTGCTTCTTCCAGTTAGTCTCTGTAAATGATTAAGTTTCTAAAATTTATCTAAACACCATACAGAAACTTGTTTTGGGGAATTTGATAGTTATTGATGTACATCTGTTAAACTGATGACAGACATAACTCATCATTCCCCAGAAACCTTTTTTGATTACAGTATCTAACATTTTGCCTCCTCTTTTTTGGTTTTGCTGGTTATAAAGGTTTGGATTGGAGAGGGCTCACTGGATCCCAATCCTTGGAGCTGGATCATTGGATTCAAATCATAATGTGGATAGGATAGGGAGGATGAATTACCAGGATTCATGGAGCGGGATCAGATTACCAGGAACATAGGAGTGGATTCCTTCCTGCCCCAACCAAACCGCATTCGTGTGGATTTTTTTTTCATTCAACTTAATTGGCTATTCCAAAGAGTTTTTTCCTATTTTTGACGATTGGAGCCCTTAAGATGCACGATGGAATTGTGTTTTGCATTTTTTGGTAAAAGGAGCAAAGCGAGGACCTGGAGATAAACGCTGGAGCAATCTCCTTGGAAGGATTCAGCACGAGTAGATGGTAAACATTTAAAGGGGAAAGGGGGGGTTTGTTTAAAATAGTAAATCAGTAAGTCACTTCTAAATTTAAAGAAAACAATATTGGAGTTGAAAGAATAAGTAGGTTTCCAATTGGCTATTGCCGTTTTTCTTTGAAAAATAAACATTTTTTAAAAAACGATGCATGGTTGTCCTTTTTCCTCTTCATGTAAAATTTTGCTGGGTAACTAGTGTATCAGCTATTTCTTTAAATTGATAAATTCTGACTTGTTTATGTGTTGTTAGCAATTAAAGATATTAATCTAATAAACGATAATAACTGTCTCTTAATGTTGTGGAAGTCTTAAAGGGATAATAAACTGAGTGTGAGGCAGTCATGTATGTAGTACACTTATGTAGGGGTTAATAGTCTGGAAATTAAGCTTTCATATTTTGCTAAAGTATGATTAAGAACTTATAGGTACTGTTTATTTTGGTAATACTTTAGACAAAATAGGTTTTTGTACAAAATTGGTTGATGGCTAGTAAGTTTTGATGTTGAAGGTAGCTTTTGAAATCTTTGGTGACACTCAAATTCATTAGTAACATCAGCAGGGGTAATAGAAAGCAGCACTGATCTTTTTGAGTTGTGGACAGTATGCTGACATATTAACTGCTTATAGGGTGAATCAATATGTCTCGTAAAGCTTTTCAGCCATAAAGAGTATTCTGTCCCCAAACTTAGTGATCTGTATTAAGTCAGCAATTATATCTTAGTCTAGTGTTATATATCTCTGTTAGCTCCTGTAAAGCTGAATCTTCATCTTGCTTGGAGTGGAGTATGGTACTTGTATTTAAAATCCCAAGCTTGTGATTTCCTTATAGTTAGAATGAACAAATCACTCTTCAGTATCCTAATGGAAGAAGCTAGATTTTTAACTTTTCCTTTGGGTTGCTGGCTGAATTTAAGGTTAGTCAGGTATAAGAAAATTTAGGGGAGACTGGAATTTTAATATGAAAGACATAGGCTTCAAGAAATTTGCATAAGGTCACACAACTTACACGTTTTTAAAGACTGTCCTGGAAAAGAAAGTGATAGATAAACTAAGTTCAAAACCAGGATTTCATTCACTTTAGTGTAGACTCATTAAGGTTAAGTAACTGTAGTTAAGAGAATTCAAAACATAACTAAGCGTAAATTTGCTTTTGAAAATAATCCTAAAGAATTAGCATAAATATGATGTGATTAAAAATTTAAATGTGAATATTTCTAAGTACATTGTATGATCAGGAAAGTTCTCAAATGGTGGATTTTGTTTTTTTCTTTGTGTGACTTTGCTTTGGTCTAGACTTTCCTAGAATTCAGTATGTAGCCCAGGCTGGGCTCACACTCCAAAGCAATCTAGTCTACCAAACTCATGAATTATGAATGAACTACTATGCCCAGTTTACTAAAATAATTTTGAAAGGCAAATATGAGCTCAATACAAGCAAATTGGCTATTTTGAGTGCTTTGGAAACAGGACCAAGAAATGGCCTCTATTAAATGAAGGTTATCTATTTTAAGTAGTTCAGCCCTAGATTGAAATGAATAAAAAGTATTCTTTGCCTTTATAAGACTATGTCTTGGGTTTGAACACTAGAGAGCAATGTTTGGAAAGTACAGTAAGTTTTAAGTCTTAAGAAATAGACCTATACCCATACTGACAATTTATGCCATTTTGGAAATAAAAATACTACCTTGATTTCCACCCCTTCCCCTTCTCTGTTCCCTTAGGATATTGTAGGGACCCTATGATTAGTTTTTCTAACCAAGAAAGCACTTAAATCTCTTTAAGCAAGTACTTTGCATAACATCTGGTTGAATAACCCAGCTTGCTGTTCAGCTCATCCTACTGGAGACAAAGGTAAGACATTTTGATACCTAGTTTGGGGTCTAAATTTTAAGAACTAAAGTTTGGAATGAATAATTTTCTCTTGGAATGGTCCCCCTTCCCAGCTTTTTAGTAATTTGAATGTTTATATATCCGCCCATCTTAATTCTGGAGTTGAATGTGATAAATTCTAAGATCAGCTTTTCTTAGTTTTGTCTATGAACATGGTTTTGTAGGGTTGGTGCTATTTTTAGCTTCCTGTGGTCGAGGTCAATTCTTGGTGTTTGCCTTTTTGCTTTGTATATGAAACTTGTAGTTAAATTTACAAATGAAATAAAATATATGTATTTAGTATTAAAAGGAGAGAAAGTATTAGACTGAGTTCTGTTGTAACAACCAGTTTTGGCTTATTTCTATCATGATTTGAAGATCGATTGACAATCCACAATTCTGAAATCTTAAAAACCATGAGTACCAGGGATTGTTTTTGTCGAGCCAATTGAATGTAAAAATCTGGCCAGAATGATACCTTCATTGTATAATTAGTGTCACTAATGAGTTTGCCAGCAGAAATACTAGTGCGTTCTTCATTACAAAGTTGCTTAGACATGTTGAAGGTGTTTATATAAGGTACATGGATAAAAGCTTCATGTAAAGTATGAAAACCGTGAAACTCAAATACATCTCTCCTGGGTGGGCAAGGAGTTGAATGTAGAATTGTACTAGTATTGTGGAGGATTAACGCTGCTGTATGTAATTTTGGGAGTGAATAAAAGGCTGTTACTTTGAAACCCTTATTGAGATTTAAGTTCTCCATCCTTTTAGACTGAACCAGGTATAGCGGAAAAGGTATCACCCACATCTTACTATATAGTTAACACTAGCAGACTGTTTTACTCCATGGAAGGGAATATTCAGCCACCCAGTATGTATGTAGTACAGTGCTCCTAAGGGTAGGTATTTAGGTTCCAGAGGGGTTTGGTTTTTTTTTTTTTTTTTTTTTTTGGTTGGTCTGTTTTTTGTATTTCTGTGTTTGAGTGTTTTTCCTGTATGTAACTGCTCTATGTGTGTGAGTGGTGCCTTTGGATACCAGAAGAAAACACTGGACTCCCCTAGAGGTGGAGACTGGACAGTTGGGAGCTGCTGGGTGCTGGGAACCAGAACCTGGGTCCTCTGAAAAAGCAGTGAGTGCTCTTAACCGATAAGCCATCTCCCCAACTCCTTTTCAGTCTTAGGAACCTTGCCCGTTCTAGTTCTGTAAGATTGGAATGAAGTTGACATGAAAAGTTTTACTGTGATTGTTGAATAAATCTTGCAAAATTTTTGCTTTAGAGAAAAGAAATTAACAGCATATTTAAACCACTCAGTTCCATGATTGAAAACTTCAGAATGTTTTTTTAATTTTGAAAGCTTTGCTCGGTAATTCAGAATTTTGTTGTGCTTTATCAAAGGGTATTTTCTTGTTGCTTCACAGTACACGGAAAATAGGACAGAATAGTACAAGTTAATTCTAGAAACCTCCAGAGGCAGAAAAGTATCACTTTTTAGTGTACTGAGGATTTGAACCCAGGGTCTCTTTACTACTGAGCTGCAACTTCAGACTTATATTTTGATAGTGTCAGTGTCTTAGAGGAAATACTAGTCATGCATGGCTGTTGATGGAAGTTCCCATTTAGGTAAGCAAAGCAGAGTCAAGCCAACTGCTTTAGCTTAAAAAAAAAAAAAAGGTCCAGTGGTAGTGCACTTTGGAAGCCAGAGGCAGGTGGATGGATGGATACCTTGAGTTTGATTGAAGCCCACAGCCTGGTCTGCAGAGTGAGTTCCAGGACAGCCAAAGCTACATAAAACCCTGTCTCAAAATAAAAAGGGGTGGGGGGGATGGAGGCAGTAGTTAAAAATCTCTTGATTTCTATACCATAAAATGTAGTGACTGTAAGCTATTGGTAACATCACCATGAAGGGATCTGTGAGAGACATAGGATCCCTTCATGGTGATGTTACTTACCAGAGACATGACTTTAGTGTTCCCATGGCTTGTTACAGTGCCATGGGAATTAGTGTTAATTATAATATTAGTAATTAATATTACTAATATTAGTGTTATTAGTAATAGGGAAAATCAGTTGGCCACAAGAGGGAGCTCTGCCACAAAGCAGGAATAAGCTTTACTGCAATGCCTTTACAGTATCTATCTACAAAGTTAGATGGTTTGGATAAATTTTCTAACTGTAATCATGAGCAATGTTCTTTCACAGCTGCTGGGGTCTGTGCAGGTTTCAAATAGTGGTTATCTTTAAGAGGAATAACAGGAGGAAATGGGCATACTTCCAGAGCTTTTTCTCTGGCAGGTTTAGCAGTGTTGTTTCAGTGTTTCTAATAAAATTTTAATGATAATTTGTACCTAACCCTGTCAAGTTAGTTATATTGTAGGCAGAGAATGCTTTAATCAAAAAGTCAATACAGGTCTCTTGACATAGTTATTTACTGACATTTTAGGAGCTGGAGGTTACTGAGAATGAAAGTCTGTTACCATAAGCTTTTTCTGTCTCAATTTTACCACTCTTCCAACTCCCCTCCCTAATACCCCATAGCCCACAGAGGAAAGGACACAAATTTGTTTCCTTTTTGAAGTAAAACTTGTCTGTGCGAACTTAAAAAAAACCTACCACTTGGAAAAAGACATTATGATTTACTTTTTATTTTTTAAAATTTTTATTTATTTATTTATTACTTATTAATTATGTATTCAGTGTTCTGCCTGCATGTATATCCCTGCAGGCCAGAAGAGGGCACCAGATCAGGTGGTTGTGAGCCACCATGTGGTTGCTGGGAATTGAACTCAGGACCTCTGGAAGAGCAGCCAGTGCTCTTAACTTCTGAGCCATCTCTCCAGCCCATGATTTACATTTTATGTACATTGGTGCTTTGCCTTCATGTATGTCTGTAAGGGAGCCATCTCTTCAGTCTCAGTAAATAAGACATTGTAAGTGGACAAATTATATTTGCAGTTGAGACAACACTGGTCAAATGTACATAATAAAAGTTGTGCTGGAAACTATTCATGGGGCTACAAGTTTGAACTCTAGAGCATTTGGATAAACTGGCAAGATTGCTGTTTGAAAGCCAACTTGGTCTATAGTGAGACCTAGTTCAGAGCTTGGTTTCCTTGAATCAGTTTAACATGTGAAAGGCAGTCTGAATCCCCACTGGGACCCCAGAATTCTCTTTGTTATGATTCTTTTTAGGAAGCCTATGCCTGTGTCTAGGTGTGTACTACCCTTCTCTTATTCACCTCTACTCTATAAAAATTTCTATATAAAATAGAACTATTTCTTGATGAACTCTAGCTTTGCATTACACAGATGATTCTCTTAGTAAAAGAAGGGCTAAATTTAGGTTGCTGAAATGTCAGGGCATGGCAAGATTGTTTCTTGAAGTATTAGAGGAACTTAAGTTTGGGGTCACTTTCAGGTCACAAGAAGTAGTAGGGGTCAGTTACTTCAATTCTCAAAAGGAAACCTAAAAGTGACTGTAGTTCTTAAATATATTTATCTAACAGTGACAGTAACATGTCCTAGACATTTTAGTTACAGAATATATAGTGTGATAATCATGCTTTAAGACTAGAAACATAAAATTGTAAGTTACGCAGTAAACACACTGTAACAACTAAAAGCAAAATATTGCTTCCCCCTGAAGTCAGAAAAGTAGTAAATTTCAGCAAGGTACTAGTCAAGTTCTGTCTTTACCTCAGTGCTACCATGTCTATTGACTTAACCAGACTCGTTCTGGGGTTTTATGTATTTATTTATTTATTTTAAGATTTATTTCATGCATGAGTTATAACTGCATGTACACCTTAAAGCCAGAAGGTGGCATCAGATCCCACTAGAGGTGGTTGCTGGGAGTGGAACTCACGACCTCTGAAAGATCAGCTAGTGCTCTTAACTTCTGAGCCATCTCTCCAGCCCCTGGGGTTTTATTTCTTTGTGACAAGGTCTCACTATGTGATGGACCTCAACTTTCAATTTGAAACCCTCCCAAGTGCCACATCTGGTTACTGAAATAAGAATGGAAATTTGTTGCTTAAATTTGTCTCATATCATCACTTGATATATCGGCATTCTTGTGTATATCCAGGTCTGTTACTGATGGATTTTATCTGATTTCAATGAGAAACCTTCATCCTGGCTATCTTGCTTGTCAATTGTACTTTACCTTTCCAATTTTTATCACTGTTACGTCATGTCCCCCTTTGACATGTAAATACTAACTGACCATCTTTGGTTTTGCTATTGTATGTCTGTTTGTGTGTTTGTGTGTTTCTGTCTTTTTTTAAATATATATATATTTAAAAATATATATATTATATATATTTATTTTTTTAAATATATATTTAAAATATATATATACACACATTTAAATATATATATACACACACACACACATTTCCCCATTAGCAGTCTTGCTGCTTCAAATCTTAATGGCCCTCAAGGTTCAGCACAAGTTATATTTAGTCTTAATCTTTAAAACTCAACATGCCTGCCAGGTGGTGGTGGCACGTGCCTTTAATTCCAGGGAGGCAGAGGCAGACAGATCACCGAGTTCAAGGCCAGTCTCACACATACAGAGTGAGTGCCAGGACAGTCTCCAAAGCTACACAGTGAAACCCTGTCTCAAAACAAAACAGCAAAATCAACATGCTTAAAAACTTTATAGAAATTTCTAGAAATTTTAAAAACGTGTGTGGGTGTTTTGCTTGCATGTTTGTCTCTGAACCACGTGTGCAGTGTCTGGAGGCCAGAAGTCACATAGTTGTGAGCCTTCATGCTGGAAATCAAGCCCAGATCCTCTGGGTGAGAACAGTACTCTAAACTGATCCATATCTAGCATGTGCTAAACACTTAATTGTACTTTCCTCCAAGATGCATTTAATCTCCTTAATTTATTTCATTGTTTTATATGTTAACTTTCCTATCCAATGGGATTTTAGTAATTATATTTCCCAAGAACCAATTGCAATTCTGCTGTAGGTTTAAATGGACAAGAAATGATACAGAGAAAAGTATTATTCCTCAAGCTGTTGGTTAACTGAGGGGATTATAAAAAGTATGTTCTTGCTGGGTGGTGGTTGGCGGCATATGCCTTTAGTTCCAGCTCTCAGGGAGGTAGATGCAGGAGTTTGAGATCAGCCTGCTCTACAGAGTGAGTTCCAGGACAGCCAGAGCTACACAGGAGAGACATTGTCTCAAAACAAAGTTCTTAACATTGGGTCACATCTCAAATGCCTTAATAATGAGACAGGATTGGAAGTGCACACTATAATCCTAGTTTTCCAATACTTCAAAACCTGAGACAGGAGCATCTTAAATTCAAGGTCGTCATGAGCTAGCAATAGTAAGACAAACCCACCAGTAGGTGGCATCAGTCTGGTGATATGTATAATCTCTAGGTGATACCTAGAACACTGGGAATCTAAGGTAAGACACAGGGACAGCTTGAGCTTGTCTCTGTGTAGATCTGGCTATATGTAGGCCAAACTGGCCTTGAACTCAGATCTGCCTGCCTCTATCTCCCCAGTCCTGTGATCAAAAGCACAGGCCACCATTGTTCAGTGAGACTTGTTTTAAGATAACGATGGCATTGTCCCTAAGTAGTTCTTATTAAGACTCACTTTTTCATCTTTCCCTGAGTTTGAGTCTTACAGAGAAAGTCTGAATATGGCTTGAATTTAGTGGCCCTTCCTCAGAATCATTGCAGATTCCTTAGTATTTTTGGTGGAATAGGTAACATTACACAAATTCATAATT